AGACGCTGCTGCGGGCGGGGGAAATAGCCCAGAGCTGCCACCATTCACAGCTGGCAGCAGCAGCCTGCTGTCATCCCGCATCATCCAGGGGCGCAGGCTGAGCTGGAAGATGTAATCAGAGAGCTGGGGGAAAGATCAGGGAGCTGGAGAATTGAACCAGAAACTGGGGGAATGCTCAGGACCTGAGAACGTTCCCCCACCCCTGGTTGAATTCCCCAGCTCCCTGTTCGATTCCCTGGCCACCAGCTTGATTCCCCAGCTCTCAGTTCAATTCTACAGCCCCCGGTTCAATTCCTCAGTTCCCTGTTTGATTCCCCAGCCTCCAGGTCAATTCCTCAGCCCCCAGTTCAATTTGCCAGCTCCCAATTTGATTCCCCAGCTCTCTAATCATTCCCCCAGCTCTTCCTGGAGGGTGTAGGCCCCTGGATCTGCACACTGGGTTTCAGCAGGCTGCTGCTGGAGGCTGGGGCCATCGGCAGCACCGAGCACTCCCCAGGGTTTCAGCAGTGGTGGGAGCTCGCTGAAACCCTGCACGCAGATCAGGGGGCCCGTGCCCCCTGGGAAGAGCTGGGGAAATGATCAGAGACCTGGGGAAGGTGATCAGAGAGCTGTGGAATCGAATTGGGAGCTATATATCACTATCAGAGCTGTCCTTCCCTCCTCTTACCCCTGCCTTTCCTTAGTTTCTGTTTAGCTACAAGCAAGCCAGCTTCGAAACTCGAAACGTTTTGAAACTTTTGAAACATTTCAAGTGCCCTTGTTTCAAAGCTGTTTTGAGGCTTTTGTTTCATTTCAATTTTGTTCTTTTGGACTCAAAACGAGTCAAAACAGCTTCATAACAAAGCACCCACTGAAACTTCATGCAGCCCTAGTTTCTAGCCGCTGTTACTTAAAAAGATTGCAGCAGAATAAGGGCTGCAATCAGCAGGTAGCTGACCTAGGTGCGAAGGCTGAAGAGATCTAGGTCCTTCAGTCTCTCCTCGTAGGGCCTTGCCTGCAGGCCTCTGACCATACGAGCGCCCTCCTCTGAACCCTCTCAAGATTCTCTGCATCCCTCTTGAAGTGCGTTGCCCAAAACTGGACGCAGTACTCCAACTGCAGCCTGACCAGTGCCGCATAGAGGGGAAGCATCACCTCCCTGGACATCTTCGTCTTGCATCTGCATGATTGATTTCTGTTATTTACATGGGAATGATTTGTAAATACTAAACCTTCCTAAATACATGCTTTTAAATAAAATAATTGTTATAAAACCAGTAGTGGTCTCATATACTCACAGGTAGAGCGCTCTAGCTTAGGAATCTGAAGCATCTCCACTATACTGTTGACTAGGATGCTCAGTTCTGGTCTGAGTTAAAATTGCATTGTTACTTTTAACTTAAGCCATTTTAAGGGAATCTATGTGGAAACTGTATAATGCTACAATACAGGACAAATGCCAGTGGGATTTATATGTTCTGGTTTAGTCTCAGCTTAACTTCAAGTAGGGATTCCAAAGGTATGTGCTGTATGTATTAATAGTCATGTCTACTTGCTACCACCATAGAAGAATTATTCTTATAGGGGGACTATGTGCCATTACAGAAATGCTCACTGAGGAACTAATCCAGTTTGGCTTCTTAAGTGCCTAAGCAGCATGTGGGCAGAATTTTGGTGGCTAACTTCTCTCTGATCTGGATTGGGCCTAATCCATAAACTACTATTTGAGGTGGTGCCTTCAGAATGGACTGGAAAGTTTACTGTGTGCCTGACCTTGGGCTTCAGAGAATGTTCAGAAATGATCCAGGCTGATCAATTGGGTGCCTAACTTCTTCCTATGCTTAGTAGCAATTCAGTTTGGTGCTGGGGAAGCACCTTTAGTCTTTGGAGAGGTTTGATCCACTTGCCATGCTTGAAACATGCTTAACTTGCGCTACAGTCAGGTCATGACCAGTAGCGGAGGACCAAACGATATACTTAAAATCAAGGAGTTATCATCTAGGTTGCTGAGGGATTAACCACAGAATCCACCAATGTTATTCCTATAGAGATGTTTTTCAGAGCAGAATTTTACTTTGAGGGAGAAACGTAGCTCAGAATCCAAAATTACTAAAAACAGCCTAGAAATGAGTGATCCTTGCACCTGATGAAAAGTGACAAAATAACCGTCCTCTGCCAGACAAAGCCATATGGATTTAAATGGAAATATCTGGGATGCTTTTCCAAACCAGGATTGTTGACTCAATTGTCCATTTTAACTGATTCCTGATGATCATCCCCCAAAGCATGCACAGAGGGCAATACACAAGTTCTAAATCATCAAGTTGGCTATTTCAGTGTTGCACTCGCTTAGGCTAGCACAAGGCTCATAGCAAAGGTATGTTCATTTCTACAGTTAAATTACTATTCTGATTATTTTAATAATTACATTTCAGGAGGTTTGCAATTTTATGCCTCAGATACACTGGAATCCAGTAGTCTAATTGATGCATTCAGCGGAATTTCATCAGGAAGTGGAAATATTTCTCAACTTTCTATCCAGGTCTGAGTTTCAAAGTGTTTTTTCCCATGTTAATAGGCTATTTTTTTCCCCATGTTACTAGTCAATTAAGAGAGATTTATCAAGGTAATCCTTGATCCTGTGATGCCTGTGGCTCTTCCTCCCTTGCTGATCTCCCTTGAAGGTAGAAACAGCAATAGACACAGAAGGTCTTTGTCTCTCCAAACAATTCAGTTCTGTGTAGAACATGGGACCTTCTCATGATAGCGCCAACAGGGCTGTAAGCATGGGCAACTGATGACACCTTAGTCAGGGGGGAATGTGCCCTCCCAGCAACCAGTCAGCAACTGGGGGTGGAGCCTGAGGCCGGTCACACTCACCTGGAAGCAGCCACGGGAGCGCCGCTTCCGCTTCCGCTTCTTCTGCTTCACTTCCAGGAGCACCGCTTCATCTGGAACTCCCACTCCTTGGCTGGCATTCGCAGAGGGGGCACCAGCACTCCCACCTTCCCCACCTGCCTGTCACCTAAGTGGAGAGCCTGGCCTGACAGGGGGTGCACCAGCGGTCTCAGGGGGTGCATGTGCACCCCCTACACATCGCCACTGGCTGTAACATTACCCATATTGTTGTGTTCCCTCCTCCAGCAGTGGGACAGAGACCCTTTACCCACTCAGGCTTCCCTCTAAATAGCCATAATATCAGAGTTGTTCATCTTAGTAAGATGAAAATTATTTTTATTTTAAGTATTTACCTGCTATCTAACCATAAATCATATTTCATTTGTCTGACAGCTTGAAAGCAAAGCTCTACAAGTTGCAGTTAGTCAGTGGATGAATGGGTCAGTGACAGTTGACAGCACTGTAGGAAATGACACCTTCTTCATAGTTACATGGAGTGGCTCTTTACCACACATTTTCCTCAGGGACCCTAATGGAAAAGAGTATGGAAATTCTGACTTTACCATTAGTGATGCAAACCTCCAAACAGCTCGACTCACTGTAACAGGCACCGCAGAGGTAAAGTTCAAGTTCTCTCTTTCTGTGTCTGAACTCTTTAATACCTTTCATGGACTAAAATGCCTAAACTCCCACTTTTTGACACCTTTCCTGCCACTGCACTCCTATCATATATATAAGATTTCTGCACAACACACTACATTAAGGTGAAATTAAGGCTGAGCATTCATATCTGTAACTTTAAGTACACAAACGGTTCCATGAATGAGAGAATTCCTAAAACCTAAAAAAAAATCAGCTCTAAATTTGAAATTAAAAGTAATCCAAACATTTTAAAATATTAACAGCTCTGGCCAAGGTATCCAAATCATCTCAGATTTGGCCTTGTAGCGATATCCTAACTCGAACTGCTCTTTGTGCCACTGAAAATCTCCTTTAATCTAATCTAATATATGATTATCTAAGAGGAACAAGGCTGTTCATAGTATACTACATTCTTATAATAAACTTATAATATTCTTTATATTTGATTTGCAGTGGGGAGATTGGCATTATCAGATTCAAAATACGTATACAGCCTCTCAAGTCATATCAATGACAGTAACCTCTCGAGCAGCATCTTTGGATGTGCCTCCAGTGACTGTGAGAGCTCACATGAATAATGATACAAACAGTTTCCCTAGTCCTATGGTTATTTATGCAGAAGTTAGCCAAGGGTTTTTGCCTGTTCTTGGTGCAATGGTGAAGGCTACTGTTGAACCGCAGACTGGAACTGCAGTAGATCTGGAACTTTTTGACAATGGCTCAGGTAATTTTTTAATAAATGTCCTTGCTTTTTATTTATCAATTTGCATTCTCCCCACTTGTGTTCTGCATTTTAGAATCTACTACATGCTACTTGCAAATTTACACAAAGGAGTCAGTCACCGGTATGCAATGAGCCCAGAATAAGGGGTTTCAAAGGAAGAAAACTGTGACTCTGGTCTTTAGTAGTGGTACTTTAAGAGCAGGGAAGTGCTTTTAGGATGGGTGAATGGCTTGGTATCCAAACTGATACAACATATGTACCCTGATGTATTGTACTGGGTGTAATGGGAGGAAGAAAGAGAAATTGTGCACAGGAAGGAAAGGCAAAGTCTCTCTTCAAAGCCTGTTTTCTCTCTTGGGCTATCACCTATGATGCAAATAACTGCACAGGGACAAAAGATGGCAAACAACTCTATGCCTAAATTCACTCTCTGAACTTTGAGTATATTTTACATACATGTTACAAAACATGTGTAATACCTTTGTGACTGATTCTTATCACACCTGTAACTGAACACAAGGCCAGTGCCCAGCCTCTGGGGGCCACAGGAGACTGTCAAGATTCCTATGTGTTCCAGAGGCTGGGAGGCCCCTCAGCAGATCAGGGCTTCCAGCTGAGAGAGCACACCATGGGCTCCCAGGGCTCGGAGCCCCATCAGCTGATCAAATGTGTTTCCCCAGTGGAAAGCCCCATTCAGCTGATGGGTCTCCCAGCCTGGGGAGCACATAGTGTGCTCCTGCATCTGGAAACCTACTTGCCAGTGCAGGGGGAGCCTGGGAACAGGCTCCCTCTGCCCTGACAATATGGTGCAGTGGAATCTGATGCAGGCATCCCAGGAAATGCAACTGTTGGGATCCCGCATCAGATCCTATTGCGCATTCACCTTACTTTTACATCTGTCGGGGGCTTAAGAGTTGGTTTTTCTAGTTTGTCCCATGCCATGTGAATCTTGACTGCAGCATTAATGTTAACCCACCAGGGGAAATACATAGTTCCACCAGGGGAAATGCCTGCTGGACTTGGTCCTTGCCACAGGCAATGACCTGGTGAGGGGTCTGCAGGTACTCAACCACCTGGGTGACAGTGATCATTGCCTGCTGGAATTTACTATCCAGCACAGGGTGGTGAAAGCAAGCAGCAAGGCAGAGGTCCTCGACTTTAGGAGGGCTGACTTCTGTAAGCTAAGAGGGTTAGTAGGAGAGGCATTGGGGTTTCAAAGTTTCAATGAGATGGGAGTTCAAAACAGGTGGTTGTTCTCTTAGGAGACGATCCTCCGAGCTCAAAGGGAGTCAGTCCCAATGCTCACCAAGGGGGGAAGGAGTGCTAAGAAGCCCCCATGGCTCAGCAAAGGCATCCAGGGATGCCTGAGGGCAAAAAAGGAAGTGTACAAACAGTGGAAGCAAGGGGCTATCACCAACGAGGATTACACTTCCACTGCTCAGGACTGCAGGGAGGCTGTTAGGAAGGCCAAGGCAGAGATGGAGCTAGGGCTAGTAAACAGAATTAAAGATAATAAAAAGTCCTTTTTCAAATACATAGGAAGTAAGAAGAAGGCACTGGGTAATGTAGGCCCCTACAGGATAGGCTTTGCAATCTGGTGATTGCAGCAAATGAAAAAGATGACCTCTTTAATTAATTCTTTGCCTCCATATTCCTGAACAGGGACCGGGACATCTCCCCCACTAGAGTTTCGGATGGACCCAGGGGGCACTGCCATGCCTAGGGACAGAGACGACCTAGTTAGGGAACTTTTGGAGGGGGTGAACATGTTTAAATCAGTAGGTCCAGATGCTCTTCACCTGAGGGTGCTGAGGGAATTGGCAGGGGTCATAGTGGGGCCCCTGGCTTGGCTCTATGAGCGCTCGTGGGGCACTGGCCAGGTACCAGAGGATTGCAAAAGGGCCAATGTGGTCTCAATTTACAAGAAGGGGAGAAAGGAGGACCCCAGCAATTATAGGCCAGTCAGTCTTACCTCAGTCCTTGGGAAGACCTTTGAGAAAGAGAAAATTATCAAGGAGCACATCTGCAAGGGCCCAGCAGGGGAGTTAATGTTCAAGGGCAACCAACATGGGTTCATTGAGGGCAGGTCTTGCCTGACTAACCTGGTTTCTTTTTATGATCAGGTCACACAGTCCCTATATGAGGGTGTCGGGGTGGATGTCATTTTCCTGGACTTTAAGAAGGCCTGTGACATGGTTTCTCACCACATTCTCTTAAAAAAACTTGGTGACTGTGGCATTGATGCCTACACAGTCAGATGGGTGGCAAATTGGCTAGATGGTCACACCCAGGGAGTGGTGGTGGATGGGTCATTTTTGACCTGGAGGGATGTAGGCAGTGGAGTCCCCCAGGGCTCGGTCCCAGGGCCTCTACTGTTCAACATCTTTATCAGCGATCTGGCTGTGGGTGTGGAATGCATGCTGTCCAAATTTGCTGAAGACACCAAGTTTTAGGGCAAGGTGGGCATGCTGGAGGGAAGGGACAGAATTCAGCTAGATCTAGACAGGTTACAGAGGTGGACGAATGAGAATAGGATGGAATTCAGTGCAGACAATTGCAAGGTACTGCATCTAGGGAGAAGGAACCAGCAACACACCTATAAGCTGGGGAACATTCTTCTTGTCAACACAGTGGCAGAAAGGGATCTTGGAGTCTTTGTTGACTCCAGGATGAACATGAGCCGCCAATATGACGAAGTGGTCAATAAGGCTAACCTCACCTTGTTGTGCATCTACAGATGCATCACAAGCAGGTCCAGGGAGGTGATCCTGTCTTTCTATGTGGCTTTGGTCAGGCCACAGATGGAGTACTGTGTCCAGTTCTGGGCGCCACACTTCAAGGGGGATGTGGCTAGCACTGGTCCAAAGGAGGGCCACTCTCATGGTCAAGGGGCAGCAAGGCAGGCCCTACAAGGAGAGGCTAGAAGGTCTGAACCTATTCAAGAGAATGCTGAGAGGGGATCTGGTGGTGGTTTACAAACTCACCAGGGGGGATCTGTGTGAATTGGGGGAGGCTCCGTTCCCCTGGGCACCACCCGGGGTTACTAGGAATAATGGCCACAAATTGTTAGAGAGAAGGCTCAGGCTAGACATCAGGAGACATTACTTTACAGTTAGGGCTGCCAGGCTCTGGAATGGGCTCCCAAGTGAGGTGGTGCTCTTTCCTACCTTGGGGGTCTTCAAGAGGAGGCTGGACACATATTTGACTGGGGTGATATGACCCCGGCATCCATTCCTGCCCAGTGGAGGGGGTCAGAACCTGATGATCTGTTTAGGTCCCTTCTGACCATAAGCACTATGATACTATGAACCCACTGCCCATCAACTAAGCTAATTCAGGCATGACTGTGCAAAGATAGTCACAGTTTTGACAGCAGTGTAGATATAACTTTGGTGACAGATAAAGAAATCATCCTGCAAGCTGTCTCCTTCACAGAGTCCTGTGCTCTGACACTGTGTCAGTCTCAAGACTGCCAAGAAGGTCTCCACCAACCATAACATGAGAATCTCCACTAAGGTAGTTTCCCAGAAAGAAGAGCAATTACACAGTTATATGTATAAATGCCACATTGTTACCTCTGGATAAATATGTAATTCATTTACATCACAATGGAGACAATATCATTTCGGCTGACGTCCATATTAAAATAAGTTATTCCAATAATAGCAGAACCACCTGTGCTTAACTACTGAACAGCCTAAGTGACCTTGCTTACTAGAAGTTACCTTCTTTTTGGACGTTAATTCTTAATATTTTATGCCAAGGTGCTGATGTTTCCAAGAATGATGGAATCTATTCAAGGTTCTTCACATGTTTCCATGAAAACGGTAGATACAACTTGAAAGTGCAGGTCCTGGGAAAAGATAAGAGTACCCGACTTGGCAAGAGACAAAGTCAAGCCTTGTATGTACCAGGCTACATAAAGAATGGTAAGAAACTTTTATAAAAGTAGTAAAATACTTTTGTATTTTTTGCATGCATAAAATATGGCTGAATATGGAAGAGCTTAGCTTTACAGAAATGATTTTTAACCTTAAAATCAGTTAAATGTATTTTTTTCTATTCACATTTGCAGTTTTCAAAAGGAACAGCTGGAGGCACATTACAGGTTTCCCTCGTTTTGTGTGGGTTCTTTATGTGTGAATTTGCTCTTATGTGATGACCCTTTTTATACCAAAAATTGGTTATATGCAAGGTAAACTCACTTTTATATGATCAGTGTGGTGGAAGCCCACAGTCAGCTGCTTTGTATGGTGCATTGTGGGAGTGATGCGCACCAAAATATAGTCTCCCGTGTGGATCACTGCTCCTCGGTCATTGTCTGTGACACGTGTTTTTGTAGCTGCCATCCCCATTATGATAGTACCCTGTGCTTGCTCTTGGTGAATACCAAAATTGCCTTATAAAATTGGTAGAAATGGGTCTGAAGGTCAGTACAGTTGAGGTCTTGGAATGTATCCCTATTTGTTACATAGTAAAGTGGGTTCCCTTTCTGTGAATTCAAGTTATGCATTGTTTTCCAGGAACGCATGTACAGCATAAAGCGAAAAAAAACTGTATTTTGCTATGTATGAGCACTGTGTACAATATTTTAATAAGAATGTTTTATTCTATAAAATAGAGTTTTAATAAAAAATACAGTTCTCTCTGGAAGTCAAGAGCATCTCCGAGTTTAAGAGTCTGAAAATCAAAGCTAGTTCTAAGTCTATATTTAATCAACTGAAGACAGGTCAAAATAGAATTAAAAGTTTCTCATTCCCCATCCTCTCTCACTCTCATATTTCTATTGTCATATATTTGTTTAGAAAAATGCATATACCCAAATGAGTAAGAAAATGGTTACCTGGGATTAAATGCCTTCTAATACCTACAGTATCCAGGAAGAGATGGGTAGAAGCAGTTATTGCATCTATAACCCACTGGAAACCTTCATAATACTCTACCTACCTTACATGATAATTAGCACTGTTTCTAGCTCCAACTGCTCTAAAATCTATTTTGCGTCTGTGGTTTTCTAAATCTTGTGCCAGGCTGGAGAATACCTGGATTCACTGTATTTTCCATCTTTGCTTCACCTATTCCTGTACTAATCTGAACTACCCCAAGTTAAAAAATACAGGAAAAGAAAAGAAATTAAAGGTAAAAGAAAATGTTATCATTTGGAGTTTTGTACTAATAAACTTTTAATTATTTTGGGGGCAGGTGAAATCAAAATGAATGTACCAAGACCTGAAGTCAGTAACAAGGAAATTCAAGCAAAGCTAGGAAGCTTCAGAAGAACTACACCTGGAGGTTCTTTTGTTGTGGAAAATGTTCCTTCTCAGTATGTTGATGTGTTCCCACCTTCTAAAATAATTGACTTGGATGCTCATATAGAAGAAGGCAGCATTCACTTATCATGGACAGCTCCAGGGGGAGACCTGGATATGGGACAAGGTAAGCCTGTAGGTTATTACGCAGATGTGGAAATGATGTTTTCTTGTCACTTGTCTGAAATTACAAAGCACAAGGATCCTATCAGCTAGGCTGAGATGAGAAAATGAGCTATATCTTTCCCATTTTCCATAATGTGATAGACACTATGGGCGCGTCCACATGAGCATGGACCTTTGGTTCCCCGGGGACACGTAGCAGTAGCAAGTTGCCCCCGGGTGTGGCAAGTTGCCCCTGGGTAGCATAGGGGAGGCTGGGCCCAGAAGCCTTACCTGAGGTCCTGGGGGCCTCCTGGAGCTGCAGCGACAGTGATCCTACTGGCTGGAGCTTGGCCATCACCTGTAGTGCGGCTCTGAGCAGTCCAGCTCCACTTTGTAACAGTGCATGGTGCCCAAGTGTGCTGTGCTTCGGGCTTTTTTCCATGGCTTTTTTGACCTCACAGAAAAAAAAAGGAGCAGCGCACACTCGGGCAGCATGCCCTTGCAGTGCGGAGAACAAAGGACTGTGTGGTATGTGGTGCACTCGTCTGGGTATGCCCTATGATTTTGCCTATTCTAGCTTTTCCTTGTGAAAAATTCCTAGCATAGACTAGGCCTCTAAATAACCAAAAGTTCAACACAGTATTCACTGTGACACCACCTAATCCTCGAGAGAAAGGAATGAGAAAACTGTAATGTTTCCAAACCCCAACACTTCATTTTACAGGAAATGAAAAGATTTTATTCTGCCTATCCCATGCTTTCTTATGCACATTCCTACAACTCCTGATGAGCAGCTCATGGAGGAAACAAACTCAGGTTCTGTTACGTGGCTCTTTACTACTGCTCCTACAGCTCAAAACAGCTGTATAGTTAAAGCATATTTGAGTAGGAGGATTCTACAGGGGTGTAGAGTCAGCCTTCCTCCATTCCCTAAAGTAATGGCACTTATGATTGGAAGAGAAGCATTTAGAACCCAAATCAAACAAAAAGCTGGAAAAGTCTGGAACAGAAAATAACCATGTAGCCTTGAAAAATTAACAGTAGTAGTGCACTAAAGAACATTAGGAAGCCAAGTACAGTTACAGCAACATCCCTGACAAATGGAGCTGCCATTCTGCTATATATTTTAGTTTCTGCCAATACTGGTAGATTGCAGATACTTCTTTCCTCTCTCTTTTTAGCTTTCCCTTTTTGTCCTTTATGCATACCTGGATATTCAAAGGAAAGGATATTGTGCGAGAAGCTTCTCATCCTATCATTCTAATCTTAGCATTATAGAAAATCTTCTTAAGTGTGTTTGAGGGTGGTAAATGTATGGACCATAGTCTGCACTTATATATGGAAGACTTCCATCCCTGGGTATGTTCTTCTGTTCAGCCAGTTCATTGCTGTAAGTGCTTGTAACGTAATTCACTTAAGGCTGATTAAGATAAAAAATGCACAACTTAAGTTAACAGCAGATCCTTGGCCAAGTTAATGTGTGGGCCTGACAAGTTCTAATGCAAATCCTGTCCAGGTCTTCTCAGAAAGAAAGGCTGGTAGTTAGTTGAACAAACTAGTCAATGGTTGCGTTGGGAATGGAGTACCATCTGAGTTTCAAAAAAGATAGGTTTTGCTCTGCAAGTTATTTACAATCATTGCATGTATGTACAGTGAAACATGCATGCTAACATTCTTACCCACTTCCACTTTTTTCCCCTCAGCTAAACAATACTTCATAAAAATGAGTGAAATTTCTCTGGACTTACGGAACGCTTTTGACCAGGCTACATCTGTGAATACATCTAGTTTGATACCTCAGCCTGCTTGCACCAAAGAATCATTTCAATTTAAACCAGAAAATTTCACAATAGAAAATGGTACCATAATCTATATTGCAGTACGTGCCATGGATAATGCCTTCCTGATTTCAGAAGTGTCTAATGTGGCTCAAGCTGCCTTTTTTTCCCCTCCAAAGGAATCTTTACTTGATACTTCTAATAGTGATAACAATAATAGTGGTAATGTTCTAATGGTGGTGCTAATAATGACTGGATCTATATTATTTTCTGCATTACTGTAAGTACAACTATCTGTTTTATTTAAGAAAAGTAGGGGAGAGGCCCTGGCATTAGAACATAGTAAAACTAACAGAAAATTGAAAACTCACTATAAATTTATCCTTATGATCTCTTCATGACTTTCAAATACAGAAGACAAATACATTTGTAAAATACTGATAATTACACTGATGTGGGAAAAAAATAGTCTGTGCTGCAGGATGGGGCTGGTCATATTGCCAGTGCCACCAGCAGTGCAGCAGCTAGCACTGCCCTGCTACAGTCTGACTTCATATTATCTAGGGTTACCATATGTCTGGGTTTTCCCAGACATGTCTTCTTTATGGGTCCTCCCATCTCTACCCAGGTGGTTTTTTTAAATATCAACTGCTGTCCAGGATTTGGGATTTTGCTCTGCTCAGAATCAAAGTTTTCCCCAGCACTGGGCTTCAGTAGGGCAGGGGAGGCTCCTGCTCCTGCAGCAGGGGTAGGAAGCGGCAAAGAGGCAGCAACGAGCTGCATGGCCAGGCCACACCAGAGCCTGTGCTCATAGGGGCGGGGCAGCCGGGACACGCTTGCAGGGCTGGGGGGAGCAGGGGCCTCTGGGTTGGGAGTGAGAGGCAGTGGCAGGGCTGGCAGGATTGTGGTTTGGGAGTGAAGGACACCAGGGAGGGTGAGGGATTCTGGATTGGGAGTGCAGGGAACAGGCAGTGCCAGGGGGCTGTGGGTCAGTAGTGCGGGGCATCAGCAGGGCTGGGGGGACTGCAGGTTGGGAGTGAGGGGTACCAGCAGGGCTGTGGGGGCTGTGGGGGCTGTCACTGCCTTCCCCCACAATCATATTACACCCCCCCACCCGCACCATCCCTGACTGGTGGCCTATTTTTGAAACTATAAATATGGTAACCCTATAATATATTATGGATAGGTTAATACAAGCATAGCTGTCTCCTTGAACAGTGTTTCTGCACTGAAATCTTGTTCAGGCAAAGGAACCAATGTACCAATGATACATACCCTAGTCAGAATTTAGTCTCTAAAAATTGGGTAGGTTTGGCCTGACAAGCTGGCCATATGTTAGGGATTTTGAGACGTTATCACTTCATAAATTTGGGGTACCAGAATAACTTTCTTTCTGTTTCACACTGTTATATATTTTCTTTCAGACTGAACAAATTTTATCATTTGGGACCTTTCCATGGTTCTATTTTGTCTACTACAATTTTTCCTGGTTCTTAACCATTTTATTATTTGTAATATTTTTTCAGGTTTACAACCATTTTGGTTATTTGTAACCTTTCAGGTTTTAATTATATTATTATTAGTAATGAAGTCTATTTTCAGATTTAAGAATACTTAATTGGTTGTAATAGCAATAAAGAGAATTCTGTTATAAATAGCTGGTGTTACACTAGTTCTGTATTTAGTTACTGTATTTTCAGGCTGAGATTTTTAAAAATGTTTCTTATAACCATTATTTTTGCAATATTTCATTTTGTTGGAACACAGGTCTGGAACCTACCTGGTAATCCTCAGACTATATCTGAAGCTTAACAGAGCTGTGCTTGGAATGAAAATATTGAGGATGTCTACACTAGATTTTAAAAATATATTAATTTGTAAAAAGTCTAGTGAAGGAAAGCTCAGTCAGAAAAAGGTTTTTGGATTAAACAAACTATGGAACTGATCCGGTTTTGCAGTTTTGGTATTTTCCAGATAATTCTTTTCATGGTATGAAATTGCCTATAAATCTTATGTTGCCTTTATAGGTAGCACTAGTTGTAAATCCCTCTTTTTAATTAAATATACTTTATGTGCTATGCTGTGTTGCTGTTGCGAACAGGGACAGCAAACAAGACAGTTTGCAAGCAATTTGCTGGGAGCAAAAGGAGAAAGGGGAAGAGGAAAAGGATCCAGGGACCAGATCCTGCTCCTGGAACCTAAGTGACTGTCTGTGTGTTCAGCTTGGTGAGTGCTTGTTTGGTGGACTGTGTGTTTGGGCATGTGCTCTGCACAGTGCTGAAAGTGCTGCTAGCTGAGTGATTGCTGGATGATTGCTGCCTGTGTCTAACAAAAGTCCTAAGAAAAGGGCAGGGTGAGTCCAGGCTCAAAAGGAACCAGGGACAGGAAACAGTGCAGTTGCAAACAGTTCACAGGTCAGTATGTTGTCCCTCTCTTTGAAGGGAAGCCTTTAAGATAAATTCTTTCTTTAACTGAGCATAACAAACCTAGATATTTAGCATAAGTAGCTAAAATTCAGAAGTTAGATCAACACACACACAATCCACCTGACAAAGAGAGGGAAGAGCATCTTTGCAGACAGGCTCACTAACCTAGTGAGGAGGGCTTTAACTAGGTTCATTGGGGAATGGAGAACAAAGCTCTATGGCAAATGGGAAATCAGATGACCTAGAGCAGGAGTTTCCAACCCTTTTAAGTCTAAGTACCCCGCAACAGCTGGATGAACATGGTGCTGGGGGGTGGGGGGCAGTGGGTAGTGAGCGGCCAGAGGCAGGGCAGGGAGATGGGGACGGTGCGCGGGTGGGAGGAAATGGAGCACTGCTACCTCCCAGGAGCAGGGCCAGGGCAGTGCAAGGCAGTGGCACCCCTCTACAGGGCAGGGAAGCTGTCATGCTGCCCTTGCTCCACCCCAGCCCTGAGAGGCGGCTGTGCTCCCCCTAGGACTGTTCCAAGTACACCCAGGGGTACCTAGTGGAAGCACAAATCAGAGTGGACAACAGGGGAGGCCTTCTCATTCTTCTTGAGAAAGTAGGGCAATCAGTTAGTTGCCTCAGGTGTCTGTACATGAATGCACGGAGCCTAGAAAACAAGCAAAAAGATTTGAAAATCCTTGCACAATCACGAAACTTTGATGTGATTGGAATAACAGAGACTTGGTGGGAGCTTGCATGACTGGAGCACTGTCATGGATGGGTATAAACTGTTCAGGAAGGACAGGCAAGGGACAAGAGGAGGACTTGCTTTCTATGTAAAAGAGCTGTATGATTGATCAGAGGTACAATATGAAACTGGAGATAGGCCTGTTGGAAGTCTCTTGGTTCAAGTCAGAGGGGAGAGCAACAAGGGTGATGTTGTGGTGGGTGTCTGCTATAGATCACCACACCAGGAGGATGAGGTAGATAAGGCTTTCTTTAAACAACTAGCAGAAGTTTCCAGATCAAAGGCCCTGGTTTTCATGGGGGACTTCAATCACCGTGACATCTGCTGGGAGGACAATACAGCAGCACACAGGCAATCCAGAAAGTTTTTGGAGAGAACCAAGAACAACTTCCTGGTGCAAGTGTTGGAGGCAAACAAGGGGCCATGTTCTTCTTGACCAGCTGCTCACAAACAGGGAAGAATTGATGAGGAACATAGAAGGGGATGGCAACTTGGGCAGAGAAAGCACTTCAAGGATGTCCTCCAGGCCAACTTGAAAAGATGTCCTCCAGGCCAACTTGAAAAAATGTCCTCCAGGCCAACTTGAAAATTGACATCAACTCATGGGAGAGTATCACCCAGGACCACCCCAAATGGTAGAAAATCTACTGCAAGGATCTCAGTATTTTGAAACTTTATGATAACAGTAGGAGATGGAAAATTGGGAGCATGCTGCAGACCAAGTCAAGAATCCAGAGCCACTCACCCCACCTGGACACGTGCCCAGGTTGCAAGTTTCTGTTGATCCCAGATCAGCCTCATCAGCCATCTTTGGACCCACAGAGAAGACCGTCATGGAAGACAGACTGCGAGGGATTGCCAAAGAAAGAGCTGCGGATGGTCCTGCTTTGACTAGGTTGGACTAGGTGACTCCTAAGGTCCCTTCCAACCCTAATTCTCTCTGATTTCTATTATTCTTTTGATTGTTGTGAATGTGATAGCAGAGGGAGATTAATGAAATATCTAAGTATTAAGTAGAAGAGTGGAAGACTGTTTACTTAGTAAACAGTAATGCTGGGGACAGAAGTTACACGTAAACTGGTTTAAGTGATCAGAAACTAGTTTAAATGGGTAGCAGAACACAAGTTCAGTGCACATAAACCAGTTTCAAAATGGCTGAAACTGGTTCAAGATAAACCTGATTGAATGTACTGCCTACTGGCTCAGAGAACAGGGCTTTGCTGAGCCTAGACAGGTCTGGAGGCTATCTGGCTCCAGACACTGGTCTCTTCTGCTTCCTGGGATCAGGGAAGGGGGGGTTGGGACAGGTTTGGTGCTGGCCAGGAAAGGTACCCCTACTGGCTGGGGGCAAGAGAATGTTTCAGTGTTCAGTTCAGTTGACCCTCTTGCCCCTCCTGAAAAGCAGTGTGCTCCTGCAAGAAGTGGTCATCTGGGGCCTCCTTGTTGAGTGACCTTACAGTAGACCTGCCCACAATGCACCAGTAATGCCAACTGTCAAGAAACCACTATGAGACTCGGGATTTCAAAGTCAAAATAACTCTGACTCACGATCTCCCAGATCTTCAGATTTTCCCAGCTGATTAGTGGAGGAAAAGGGGCAAGGGGAGGGGGAAGGGGTGTGGGGGGTGGAGATTGAGGCCCTCACAATGAGGGAGGGAGTGGGGCAGGAACAGGGGCAGGGGTGAATGGGGCCCTGGGACTGTAGGCGCAGGGGAGGGATGCAGCCCCCTGCAGCAGCACACAACTCCGGGGAAGGTATGGGGGCACATGCCCCTCGCAGGGCAGAGGCAGGCAGCCTGCTATGGGCTGGGGCTCTGTGCCCTGCTGCCTTTGCCCTAGGAGCTCAGCCGCACAACCCTAGTGTTCTCCTGCCACTGGACGGGCAGGAGATGTGTCACGCAGCCAGTACACCCCACACCCCCTGCCCTCCCCATAAATGGCAATGGCATGTGGCTGAGCTCCTTGGGCAAGGCAGCAGGGTACAGAGCCCTAGCCCACAGCAGGCAACCTGCCTCTGCTCTGTGGGGGGCACATGCCCCCATGTCTCCTCCAGGGGTGTGAGCTGCTGTGGGGGCCCATGCTCCTGCCCCATGCCTCTGGCCCCAGGGCGCCATTCACCCCTGCC